TACAGCAAAGCTAAGAGGATACTAATAATAGATTGCTCAACTGTGTGATCTCCAAAATTAGCGATTTTTAAAGTCAACAAAAAGCAAGTAACTAAAAGCAAGTGAAGCTGGAGGATTCATTCAGGTTTTCTCTCAATTTCAAGAGCAAAATTTGATCTTGCAGGAGGAACACTGGGTGATCCTTTAAGCTAGCCTGTGAACTCCCACTGGAACTCCCATTTGAGGTCTCATTCAGGAAATGGTTTTGATTAAAATAGTACTTCCCGTCCATCCAAAAGTTCTTGCTGCCCTGTTTTTGTTTTAACCCTAAGAGAAAAATCTTTGCAATATTTCAAAGATGAATATATAAAAATGTGTTAAGCTGAGTGACATGAGCGTAACTTTGGTTTTCACCCTGCCCTTCTAATCCCAGAGCTTTCAGCGCTGTCTTGCTCACTAACATTCAACCCTGATGTGTAAGGAGTCCATTGTGATATCAGGTGAAAAGCCTTAAATAACTAGATAAACAGTGCAGCTGCCAACCTAAAGTAATCTTACACTTAGGGGTGAGTGCCCAGGAAATTTGCTCTTTGTCATTTTGACTTGGAGTTGAAAATGGACCCGGGCTACATTCCAGCTCAAAGAGCCGTTCACTTCCAAAGACTCCTAAATTGTCCCAAGGAGCTCATTTTGGCAGTAGATTATTTGTGTTTGGCTGGGCATCCTATTAGTAAAGCTGTCTACTCTGGCAGGCGAAGGCTATGGCAGGATTTAGAATTACCATCCCCAGTGTTTTTTCTTGATGAGGTTATTTTTCAGAAGCGCCATCTCCCAACCTCCACCTCAACAGTGACACTCAACGAGAGTTGAGCAGGTGGTTTTTTTGAGCTCAGAGTCACTCATGGCAGGATGACAGTTTTGAGTCAGAGGCAAATTTTAAAGAAATAATCAGGACCAGACTTTTTCCCAAATCAAAACTGTCAGAGTCATATAGCCACTCCTTTCTACACCAGAGCTCAGTTATTGGCTGTCCAGCCCTAAGGAAGAATGTGGGATTGCAGATGAAGAACTATGAGTAGAAAAGATTTTCTGAAAGATTTCTTTTAGAGTAGGAATTCCAAGAGTCAGTCTTTGTTATCAACACAATTGTCAGTGACTACTGTCGGATACTAGACAGGACTAAGTTCTGGTAACCACTGGCTGGATACTAGCATGGAGCCTGACACACTGTAGATCCCTGAATGTCAGGAGAACCCACAGAACACGCAGATGCAGGTATCAGAGTCTGGGGAGGCCTCATTATGCCAGAGGAGCCCAAAAGTAAGAACACAATAAGATCCACGGGATTAAATAAAAAATATTAGAGGTTTTTTAAATTTTTATCTCATCAATGTGTATCTCATCTATGTGTGTAATACTACAATATTTTACAAATATAATTAACACAAGTGATTAATCATATACAGTATTCATGGTTCTTGTTCAAAATGGTTTCACTCATGAAGAAGTTATGTTTCACCACAGTATTGCTCCAAATTTGTCTAAGTGCAAATGGAATTTACTTCATTTGATTTTTGAAAGAACATAGTAAGTGCAATGTGAATAGACTTCTGCTGTTGATGGAATGGGGGGAGAAAACAGGAAGACTGAGCGCCAGGTGCTCTCCAGGGTTTCATCTTCACAACAACACCAAGTGACAGACGTCCCCATTGCACAGATGATGGAACGGGATGCGTCAGGGAGTGTTCCTGTGCTGCTGTGTTCTGGAACAAATTTCAGAGAATTGGTATCATTTCTTCCTTGGCTAGTTGAATCCCCTAGTGAGATGATCTTAGCCCATTTGAAGATATTAATCATTGGTTCAGTTTTTAAAAACTAGATGAGTACAGGCTTGTTCAGATTGTCTGTTTCTCCTTGTGTGGATTTTAGTAGATTGTGTCTTTAAAGAAATTGGTCCATTTCAACTGCATTATCTAATTTGTCTTCCTAGAGTTCCTCATAATATTCCTTTATCGTCCTTTCCTGTTCATAGAGTCGCAAGCGATGATCTGTTTCATTTCTGGTATTAGTGATTTGTGTATTCCCTCTTTTGGTTAGCCTGGTTATAAGTTTACCAATTTTACTAATGTTTGCAAGGAAGCAGCTTTTGATTTTACTGATTTTCTTGGTTCTCCATTTTCAATTTCATTGATTTCTGCTTCAAATCCATTATTTCTTTTCTCCTACTTATTTGGATAGAATTTGCTTTACTTTGTCTAGTTTCCTAAAGTAGAGTGTAGATTATTGATTTTAGATCTTTCTTCTTTTCTACTGTGCTACAGATTTCTCCACAGGCACTGCTTTTGCTACATTCAGTAAACAAGTTTGATAAGTTTTAATTTTCATTTTTATTTAGTTTGAAGTATTTTTTGTTTATTTCTCTTGAGACTTCCTTGGCCCAAATATGTTATTTAATCTTTAAATATGTGTAGAGGCCCCATCTACCCTTCTGTTACTGACTTCTAAATTCATTCTGTCATGGTCAGCTCACTTCGCCTGCTTCCTATTTTAAACTTGTTAGGCTGTGTCTTAGGGCACAGGGTGTAGTCTGTCTTGGTGAATGTTCCATGTGAATTTGAGAACCACATTCATCCTGCTGCTGTTGGACAAAATGATCTGTAGATCAGACGGACAGTGCTGGATTCAGTTCCATTTTACCCTTGCTGATTTTCTATCTGCTGGATCTGCCCTTTACTGATAAAGGGGCGTTGATGCCTCCAACTACAGTCATAAATTCATCTATTTCTTCTTGCAGTTCTATCAGTTTTGGCATCATGGGTTTTGACGCTCAGGTGCTAGGTGCATATACACTAAGGATTGATATGTCTTCGTGGAGATTTGACCACTTTGTCACTGTGTAATGCTCTTCTCTGTCCCTGATAATGTCCCTTATTCTGAAGTCTGTTTTGTCTGAAATTAATGTAGCAAATCTAGCTTTCTTTTGGTGAGGGTCAGCATGGTATCTCTGTCTATATTCCTTTTGGTTCACTCTGAGTTTTGTATTTAAAGTGGGTTTTATATAGATGTACTGTTGGCTTTTCTTTTTATCTTTTTTCATTGGCATATTTAAACTGTTCACATTTAAAGTTGGATTAATGTCTCCAACAGTGACAGCTGATTCCCCCTCTTGCTCTTTTCTGTTGTTAGGCACGCTTTTAGGCTCTCTGGGTTTCAATAGGCATTTTCTGTGATTCCATTCTTTCCTTGCTCTTAACTTACCAATGATCCTTCTTTCAAAATTTTCTTTAGCAGTTACTCGAAGGTGTGGAATTTGTATTTACAGTAAGTCCAAGTCTACTTTCAGATGCTGTCGCCGCCCACCCGGGCCGTGTGACCACTTGTTCACAGATTAGGCCCCAGTTCTCCTCCAGACGCTCCCATGTGTGGTACTGCTATCACTCACCTCACCCACAGGCTGTGGTCATCACTCACACTGTTATTGTTACTTTAAACAAAAGCTGTTATCTGTTAGGTTAAGCATAGGAAACTGCTATCTGTTAGGTTAAGCATAGGAAAAACAGTTTTATTTTACCGTCATTCCTTCTTTAGTACTCTTCATGTCTTGGTGTACAGATGAATTTCTAGCCCGTATCATTTTCCTTCCCTCTTAAAACTTATTTTAGCATTTCTGACAAGGCAGGACTACTTTTTTTGGAAATTAAATAAAGTATTACTAGATGTTTATAAAGATGAAGCTATTCACAGTTCCGTGTTTCAGTCTTCACCAAGAAGTCGCTGTCCTGCTCACAAGGATACCTAAGCTTTGTGCACTCGCATTTAGGAGTGGGATGCACTATGTCCATTGCACAACATTCCTGAGATGGCACAGGCAACTGCTGCATGCAGTGCTCTGGCTTCCACTTACCTTCATACTTACAATCCGGAACATCAGCAACCACAAAAAAACGAGCAGAGATGCTGCGTGCCAGAGGAGAGTGGTACTTTGTTGTTTAAGAGTCAGCTGGGCTCGTGCCATCTAAGAGGAGAGGTGTTGTTCAGATTAATTAATCTTTGATCTAAGCACCTGTTGCTCATATTCTATCTTCACCCCAAGAATAGTTTGTGTCACAGCCACCGTCCTTCATCTCACTTGGACATGACCACCACAAAGCGATACCACAGAACTTCTTCCTGGGGCCTGAAAAGTGCTAGTTACAGAGCCAGATCCCCGAGGGCCCGAGGGGGCCATGGGAAGGCGTGTTCCTCCACACGCTGGCTTTGTGTTTGTAAATTCTGGACTCTCAAGAGCCGGCCCAGGGCAGAGAACCTTCCCTCCCACACTTTCCTAAAGGAAAGAATTTGGCCGAAATCATCTCCACCAAGGATAGATTCCTTCTAAGAAGAGACACGCCCACCCCTTTATAGAGTCTAATCATTTATTTACAGCATTCCCTGTGGATTTATAGCTACCTCTGCCATGACCTCACCTGTTTAGCATTCGTGGATAACATTCATTTCTGTCTCAGCTGAACGCTGCTTGCTTCTCTGGCTGTGCACAAAAAGTAATTGTCATCTTCTCTAGCGTTCATCTCAGTGATGCCTCCCTTCCTCTCAGCCCCTGCGCATTGTCTGAGTCAGTTCAGCACACCGCCTCCTCTGTGACTCACTGGGAGGATGGCATTTCCCTTTCAGCCATTCAGTCCACAGGTGTTTATTCTCCACAAAACCTCTGAAGCCAGGCTAAACGGTCTGGCAGGACCTACTGAGGATGGGTGGCTGTGTCTGAGCTCCGTGTCCCTCCGCTCCACCTGCCCGTGCCCTCTGCAGTGACCAGAGCTCCAGGAAGCCCCAGTGCTCCTGGCTTTCATTGCACACAACTTCCAGAGGTGACCTGCTAATTCTGCTTTGAGTTTTTAATGGGAAATTTGAAGTGCAATTAAAATATGTGTCTCTAGCAATTTCATATACTCTCAATAGTAATGATAAAAATAATACAAAACCATTAAGATCTCTGTGATAATCTTTGATCTTTTTCCTCCTAGGATTTCCAAACTGTATTTCCATCAGTTGATCTCTTCTCAAAGTATGGAAAGTCATATTCAAGAGCTGGGCAGATTGTATAAAGGTAGGCATTTTTGCTAAGAAATGCTTCAGAACCAGAACGTATGTTAAATAATCACATGAAATTGACTTAACTGCCAAGCATTGAAAACCAATTAGACTCCATAAATTCCTTTCTAATCTTTTAAAGGTTTTCAACATTTAAAAATAATAGGTTTTAGTTTTCAAATTTCTTCTCTAAAATGGACCAAAATATGGGCGTAGTGGCACAAGCCTGTAATCGCAACCTTCTAGGAGGAAGAGACAGGAGGACTGCAAGTTCAAGCCAAGCCTGGGCCACTAAGCAACTTAGTGAGACCCTCCCTGTCTCCAAATAAAAAAAGGGCTTGGGATAGAGCTCAGTGCGAAGACCCTGAGTTCAATTGACTGTACCAGAAAAAAAGGACCAATAGTACATAAATACGTTAATAGAACTGACAAAATCTAAAGTAATTTTATTTTAAATTAAAGAATATAATAAATTTCTTTATATAATACAATGGAAACATGCTGATGATGTCTGATAACTAAAATACTCTGTACTGTGTCATGTAGTATCATTTAAGGTACTACCTTCAACATGTGCATTATTTGACGTATGTGACGTCTCAGGGGATACCAGCAAATTGGATTCTAGGGACTCTGATTATCAAAGTTTGCAGGATAGACAAGAACAATGATAACCACATGAAATTCAAGAACAAAATGAACTCTCAATTAACGCTATGTGTAATTATGAAGGTATTTTAGAAGAGAGAAATGATTATCATCGAACTGAGACTCATAGAAAGTATTTTGGCATTTTTAGCCAAATTTAAAGGAAGACAGCAAAGGTCCCAGCAGTCGGAATGGCAGGAATGAGAAATCACACTCGCTGGAATTCCTCAGTATCCTCCCAAGCCTTGAACCAAGGGAAAAACACAGGGTACAGGCAAGGGACCCCACTTCTCTAGGTTGAGTGTGATGGTCCCCTCCGCTGCCCTGGTCACTCAGCAGGCTTTCACTTGGAAGTTAATATGTGAAATGCAGACACTAATATTTATCTCTTAACTACTGTGAAGGAGTATATGAGGGGAAATATAAAATATTCTGAGCGAATGGGAAAACGTATATATAACACCAAGTGGAATTGCTGCATCCGATGTTGCAGAGTATCATTGCCCACTGGAACATTTATCCTGCATTTGTGAGCCACTGTAGGAAACAGACAAAAGTGTCTCATGTTTGTGCCTGACTTCACATTTTAATTCCAGGATGTATTGAGCCCATTTATAATAGTGAGATATTGAAACCAGCTTGAACATTCATTACTATACGCTAACTTAAGTGAAAAATATGATGCAGTTCACAGATGATAAAAACATTAACATAGATCTTTTATCAATTAATTTGAAAAAAGTGCCTACAATGTATTTTTAAGAAAAGGCTCTAGGGCCAGGGATTTAGCTCAGTGGCACTGCACCTGCATTGCAAGCGCAAGGTCCTGAGTTCGATCTCTGGTGCTGCAAAAAAAAAAAAGAAGAAAAGAAAAGGCTATAAATGCAGGCTGTGTAGTTTGATATCATAAAAGAGAATATATGATATATGTACATATATGTGTTTGCATATAAATCAGTATATAAAACACTTTCATATATGTATATATGTTAAATATATATCATATATGTATGCATTTATACAAAAATGTTAATGGTAGTTTTCTCTGGATGATGAAATCACAGGTAACTTTTTGAAAAATACTTCTTGGTACTTTCATTTTTTGATGTTTTTATGTAATCAGACAAGAAGAAAGAGTTAAAACAAAACGCTCTGATAAGGAATAATTGTTCTGCTCTACCAATTACAAAAACATCTTGACTTTATTCTGCTTAATCATAATAATTTAGAAATGATTACCTTTTTTCCCAAAGACAAAATAATTACGTGCTAAATTATTTATGCTAAAAGACAAGAATGAGTAGCAAATGCTTCACATTATTTTCAATTAAAAGGTGTGTACCATACAAAGAGATAAATATGTGACAAAACTTTTTTAAGTGTCTGACAACTCCTCTCTTGGATTTTTAAGTATCTCATGAATTGAGAGTATTATCAAAACGCCACGCCTGCCTCTTAGATGGGGACTGAACGTCTGGGGCTTCATTTTGCTAAATGGATGGTGGCGGCCTTAGCTGAGACTCCTCTGGAGGTTTAAATTCACAGAATACAGCAGAGTGCTCCCGTTCTTCATCGAGGAGGCGCCACTGGTAGCAAACTGTTGAATAAAGATGCCTTGCTCATGTCTAGAGCTGTCTACTCGATTCCTCTAGCTCGCATCTTTCCATCAGTCCAATTAGAAATAGTGAGGCCTTTATCAGAGGGATCTTTCTTCCGTTAGCATGTCTGAGTTTGGGATGAACAGCTTTCATGTTATAGTCAATACACTGAGATTTCAGCCCATTGAAATTACTCAGAATTCAATTTTAAATGCATACATATTTTTTACAGCTATGCCTTGCCTGGGCAGATATGACTCCTTTTATGTTCTTTACTTTGTCTTTATAGCTGGTCACCTTCATTGATGGTTTCCCAAAAGCAGCTTTGTCCTCACCAGAATATGCTGTCTTATCCAAGTGCTTCAGCATCCTTTTGGCTTCATTCATCTTTCCAGGCAGAAACAGTCCCTTTCATGATTAGAGAAAAATTATCAAAATCAGGAGAAATCATGGGTTGTGACTTTATGAGTTACATAATGTATCCAACTCAGTTTGGTATTGATGTACATTTTCTTGCACTATATGCTTCTCAATTGTCTCTAATTCTTCTTTATTATAGGTTTGGTTCAAGGTGTCTTCCTGTTAAAATGTGGAACAATTTTCAGAGCAGATGAGATGAGTTTTAATTTAATTACTTGTTAGACATGAAAAACAACATACGTTCTCCACTTCTGTAAGGATACGATATACAAATGACCCAAATCACTGAGAAAAATAAAGTGAAAATGAAAAATAAATACAGTTAACACCTGGATTGAGAAAGGGGTAAAATGCTACTGTCTTTTTTGCAGAAGGAATAGTATCTTAGCATCTGTGTAAGGAAAAAGAAATTATATGAGGAGAGCATAATAATCAAGTATATAAATGATGTATGTGCCTGTGTAAGTTAAAGTTTTAGCACAAAAAGAAAAATTATTAAATCTTATCATTCAGCTAGGCATTATGGGAATTTGTGACCCTTTTAAGTTTAGTCATAATCAATTGGCAAAGAAATAATCTTAATATCTTTCTCTTGGTTAAGTTCCCCTTTGACTAAAGATGCTACCTCCACTCTCCCAACCCACAAGAAGGTGTTTTCCTGTGGTTTTTCATAACTGAGGTAGATTTCCTATAGGCTTCCCGTACCTAGAAACACACCTGGTCAAGGCTGCCAACCCAGACGTGCAAAGGTCAGAGACAGGGTCACCAAGCAGGAACGTGGACACATCACGTCACGTCACGTTGGGTCACTTCAGGGCTGGTGCCTCCCAGACGGGAACTGAGCTAAAACCAAGAGAGGAGGATTGACATGGAAAAATTCAAGAACTCACGTTAATAAGATACTTTCTCTTTTATTTAACTGCTTTGCTTTTAGAAATTGAAAGAGGACACAATGTAGAAGTGTGGTTAAGCTGTGAAGTGGCTGGGAAATAACAGCCCACTGCCTGGAGTCCTGACTTCCACTTCCTGCCTGACAAGCAGCCGTGGCCTGAGTCCTGCAATCCATCTCTGTCTCTGTCTCTGTCTGTCTCTGTCTCTCTTGCTCTTTCTCTCTCCTGTCAGAAGAAGAGATTCAAACCATCTCTGGTTCATTAGAAAACTTAACAGTTTAACAGGAAAATACAAATACAAATGATTGTTCTATAGGAAATACTTCAACCAAAACTACTCTGATTCAATAAACTCTTTTTTTGGATACAATCTCACTATGTAGTTCAGCCTGGCCTTGAACTCACTGTGTAGCCAGGCTGGCCTTGAACTCACAGCAATCCTCCTGCCTCAGCCTCTCAAGTGCTGGAATTACAGACATGTGCCAATAAGCCCAAGAAACTAATATTTTGCACTTCTAGTTATGGATTAATTATAATGTGGTGTATGCATGGTGGTGGTGGTGATGTGTTTTAAATCTCCTAGATCTATCTTTGGGAACAAATGCTTTAACTTGGGCCTTTGACTCTGGTGACCAAAAGTTCCATAAATAGTTCCACTGAAGTGGACACATTCTGACCCCATCACCCTGGTCACAAATGAGGAGGCCAGTATTAGGTCCCCAAATTAAGGGCAGCTAACTCATAAGTGAGAATGATAAATGATTTGAAGTATGGATGGTAGGAAGTGGTCTGGCACAAAAGCCCTTCCCTGAAGGAAACAAAGACTCATGAGACCAATTAGAAAACCCTCAGACCACTGAACTTAGGACACAGGCAGAACAGATGCAGGGTAGCAGATGTGGAGCAGAAATGAAGGTGCTCTTCGAGGAAGGCCTTTGCAGGTCTCTTCCTGGAGAAGAGCAGCCCAGTGACCTGGCTGGCGGGTCTGCATCCAGCAGGACTCAGAGCCAGACTAGTTCTCCTGAAGCCAAACTGTTCTAAGGTTCCTGTTGTTAATGAGAGGCCTGAATTTTCCTGGAATCCTTAGAAGTTAACAATCTAGATTCCTGTATTCTTTATCTCATCTCATGTGTATCCTTTCAATAAAACTTCCCACTAGAGGTGGTCTGGAAGAGTCTTTGTTTCTTGCACCTGAAGAGATGGACACAAATCTTATCCCATATGATTTTGGGCTTGGAGCCAATGAGCACTCAGGGGGACAGGCAATGTGATTTATCAACCATAAAAGCTTTAAAAGTGTAGGGCAACAAAAATCCAAGCTCTGGAGAATGTTACAGGCCAAATGACCCATTTCCTCAACAAATAAATTGCAGTACTGAGAAAGAATAAAAGGTACCTATTAAAAAGATGTATCAGCCATCAGAAAATGGACAGACATCCCCTGCTCCTGGGTAGGAAGGGTTAATATAGAGAAAACGGCCATACTTCCAAAACTGCTATATAGATTTAATGCAATTCCAATTGAGATCCCAGCAGCATACTTCATGGACCTTGAGAAAACAATCCAAAAATTTATTTGGAACAAGAAGAGACCCAGAATAGCAAAAGCAATTCTAGGTAACAGAGACATGGTAGGGGGTATCACAATCCCCAATCTGCAACTATACTACAAAGCTACTGTGATAACAACAGCATGGTACTGGCAAAGAAACAGACCTGAGGACCAGTGGAACAGATTAGAAGATGCAGAAACAACCCCAGACACACTCAGCCATCTCATCTTCGATAAAGGAGCCAAACAGCCTCACTGGAGGAAAGATAGCCTCTTTAATAAATGATGCTGGAAAAATTGGGCTTCAACTTGCCAAAGATTTAAACTAGACCTATATCTCTCCCCATGCACTAAACTAAAATCAAAATGGATTAAAGATCTAAATATTAAAATAGAAACTCTGAACCAGTTGGAACAGAGGTTAGGTAGAATCCTTGAAGACATCGGTGTAGGAAAAGATTTTATGAACAAAACCTCAGTTGCCCATGAACTACCACAAACAATCAACAAGTGGGATCTTTTCTTATTAAAAGGCTCTGCACAGCAAGAGAAACCACCAGCAGTGTGAAGAGACAACCCACAATGTGGGAAAAAATCTTCACCTGCTCTTCTTCAGACAAAGGTCTACTATCTTGAATCTATAAAGAACTTAAAAAGATCAGACCTCCCAAATTTAAAGACCCAATCTGAAAGTGGGCATCTGAAATGAACAGACATTTCTCAAACAAAGAAGTAGAAATAGCAAATAAATACATGAAAAAATGTTCAACATCACTGGTCATTCGAGATGCAAATGAAAACAATGCTGAGATTCCACTTCACTCCAGAAAGAATGGCTGCTGTCATGAAATCCACCAATAACAAATGCTGACGGGTCCATGGGAAAAGAGGAACCCTGCTCCACTGCTGGTGGGAGTGTAGACTGGTGCAACCACTGTGGAAATCAGTATGGAGATACCTCAAAGAACTAGGACTGGAAGTCCCATTTGACCCCGCTATTCCACTGGTGGGGATCTTCCCCAAAGAATTAAAAGAATCATACCTCAGTGATGTATGTGTACCCATGTTCATAGCAGCACAGTTTGTGATAGCTAAAACTTGGAAACAGCCCAAATGCCCATCAACTGGAGACTGGATAAAGAAAATGTGGTTTTTTTTATAAAATGGAGTACTACTCAGCCATAAAAAATGAGAAATTAGAGACATTTATAGCTAAGTGGATGCACATTGAGGCCATACTCTTAAGTGAAATAAATAGGGCACACGTGTATAAATATTGAATAGTTTCTCTGGTGTGAGAAACTGAAAGTGTAAATAAGGACTAAATGTATAATAGGTAATGTGAAATAGGAAGAAAAGGGGCAAAGGGGAAGGAAGTGGGAAGGCTAGGGGAAAGGATAGAAGGTAATGGGATTAATATGAGAAAATGGAAAAATAGGAACAAAATCTTTATAAATAGGGAGGGATGGAGGGGTTGAAGGGAGGGCTGGGCAAGGGTGAAAAATAAGAACCAAGAGAGACTATGTAAAGGTGCAAATTTCCAATGATGACTGTCATTATATTGTATACCTAAAATGTACCAATGATTAGAATGAATAATCGATAATGCAAAATAGGAAGAAAAGGTCCAAAGGGGTAGGGGTAGTGGGAGGGGCAGGGGAAAGGAAAGAAGAGAAAGGAAAAATGCTGTGAAATGGAAAAAATGGAAATAAATTCTTTGAAATAGGGAAGGGTGGAGGGCGTGAATGGAGGGCTAGGAATGGGGGAAAAATAAGAACCAAGATGCATTATGTAAAGGTACAATTCCCAATGAGAAAGGTAATTGTGTTGTATACCTACAATGTACCAATAAAAGAATTTAACAACAGAAACAAAAAAGATGTATCACCCAATCACACGGTGTGCACAACTTTTGGATTCTGGATTTGAATAAGCTGTAAAAAACAGAGATCTTTTGAGACCATTTGAACACGGATTGCAGAGTTGGTTATAATAGGAGAATTACTATTATGCTTTTAGGTGTGTAACAGTGGTGTTGTTTTGTTTTAAAAGGCTGTAATCTTTTAGAGATACTTATTGAAATGTTTACAGATGTAATCAGGGATGCCTGGGACTTAATTAGAAGGCCGGGAAGTGGGTGGAAATAAGATGAAGGAAGACTAACCAAAAGTTCTTAGAAAAGCTGGTGATGGGCTAAGGGTATAATATATAACTTCCCAACTTTTATAAGACTTTGTTTCTAAATATATAAAAACAAACTTGGCCATTTTATGGGACTGGGAAGCCCTTTCCTCCCATTGGCTTGTTCCGGTGGCAGCTTAGCTCCTGCCTGAGCCCAGGTGGGGGGGGTTCTTTGGGTTTCTAAGCAGTGCCCTCCCAGCCCCCACTCCCGCGGGCACCTTCTTTCTCCTGGAAGCTCCAACCACTTGCATTCTCACAAATTTCCCCACAAATTAGTCTTCTTGTACTAACGTGAATTCACTTTTCTAAATAAAACTGATTATATCATATGCCTTTGCTTTGCACTTGTGATAAAGGTGATGAAACCTAAGCAGTTTTCTAAACTCCTAAATTTTGTAAACTCCTACAGCAAGTGTGGGTTTGTAGGAAATTCAAATATGTAATAAAAGCAAATCCTTTCTTAGCAAGACAAAATTTATTACAAGGAGGAATCTGTTTGCTATTTTGGGGTAGAGAAATAGAAATAGATAGGAACTGTATTATTATTGGGTACTACAAAAATAATGAAAGTGGATAAAGAATTATTTTATGCTATAAAGTATAAGTTGAGCAAAAATAACCAAATTTGAAACAGCAGATATCTTTAAAACATTGTGAAATATTGAAATTCATTTACTCACAAAAACAACTAATAGAGAACACCGAAGGTGACATTTTTAGGAGGTGAAGAACATGTAACCCAGCTTCTACTAAACCTAATCTCTCTTAATTATGTTTTCTATCTTGAATAAAGATATATTTTATAGTATTTTATAGTAATGGAATAAGTGATTGTTCTTTCATGAAAATAGTTTCAGGAGACAGAAATCTTATTCTGATGCTTCTGTCATGCTCAAAATATTCTGTGAACTCATTTCTGTGCTATGAGTTGTGTGATTAGAAGTTATAACATGGGTTCAAAATCCTGAAGTTACCTATGCTGGGAAAAACAGAAACAAAAGCAATTCTCTGCTCAAAAAGTGATCAATTGGCCTCTCTCGGATTTCCAATTTCCCCTATATACGATGCCTTAACCTAAGGGCACTCTCTTGTTCTCTCACGCGTGCTTCTCACTCTCTTTCTCCCTCTCTCCCTTCATCCCCTCTCTTCTTTCAAACTTTAGCAGTTGATCCACAAAAATACTTTATGATCTGAATATATTCTTGGGAAAATCTAAGCACTTCATTGTTCGGTTTGATCTTTCTCACTGAGACCCAAGCTCTTCAGGGCCTCAGGAGACTTACAACCAGCCTGTTTACCTGTCCCCCACCACTGTCCCTCAGCACCCAGGTGAGCTTCTGGTAGCTGCAGAAGATCCCAATCAGTAACAAATGCTTCTACAGTAAGGACAGAGATGGCTGAAACTGGATCTTTTGGAGAATGTAACTAGCAAAAGTATTTAGTCCGTTTTGCCTCTGGAAAATGACTAAACTCTATCACCTTATGTACAGTTTCTTTCCTATACTCTCAGTGTGATCTGCTCAAGAAAACCTGTGAACCTAATGACTGACCAGGCTGGAGACTCCTGTCACCTGCCTTACTCTCCTAGCCTGGTTCTGAGGGAATCTTGCCCGTTGCAAGTGTCAGAAGCTCCACTGTGAATGTTTAAAGGCATGTACCATGAGAGCCTTCAGACTGCTACCCTTCGGTTCTGAAACCCAATGCATATCAACCTCTGTTGTGGTTAAGCAGGTAAAGCCTTTCTTCCCCCCTTTCATCTTTCATTTCTTTGGGGGCAAACACCATCTTTGCTGATAAATGCCTAACCCAAACATCTAGCAGAGCCCCTGGCAGAGAGCAAACATCTGATGACCAAATGAATGGCAAATAAAGAAGTTCAAAAAATGTTTCAAGGAATGGAAACTATGAAACAACAGCTTCTTAAGGTAGTTCCCATAAGAACGTAACTGCTTATTTGAATACACAGATCACAGTATCTTTTAATTAGTCTTGTTGCTTTTATGGTGTATATGATTTTGTCATATAAGGGCATATACTGAATGGACCGATCCTGAGATTCAGTTATAATTGCTGCCTGGGCAAAATGTTGCTTTGGAGAAATAATCTCTCACATCCATAAATATTAGAAAAAATAATCTTTATATAATATATCGTTATGGTTTTAAACTCAGCATAGTATTTGTGTCTTACAGAAATTATGACTCTTCACCAATTTATCCCCTTTTACTGTGCTCCATCCTTTTTTATCTGTCTCTCACAACCATTTTCTGTGCAAATCTGTTTTATTTTGGCCCCTAGCACTTTTTAAAATTTCCTTTGGTTCTCTTTCCCATTGTGTTTTCCTTTCCATTGTGAATTGGCTCAAAACTTCTTAGGAACAAGACACAGTCTTTTTTTTTTTTTTGGACACGGTCTTAATACAG